TGGAACATGTTTCACAGGCCCACTGTCCATCAAAAAGCACAATGACCTACCGCCCCCTTCTTCTGGATTGCAGCTTTGCCTGGAGAAAATTAGTCAGCCACGTGGAGAGGGAGCATCCAGGTTAGAGCAAGCCTAATTGCTAAGTGAGCATCACGAAGAGAATCAACAACATTAGTGAAAGCACAACCATTAACGACTCGGGTACGGATCTACAAGCAATCCCCAACGATGAACACGCGTGTTGCGAATTATTTTAGGCCTGACAATTGCGTCGTACAAATAAAAGCTCCTAGCGCCTCTAGTACAATTTTCTGCGACTATTACAGAGGATGGCTTCGAGGGTGAATGCGAGACGTCGGGCCAATAAAATTCTCTTTCCAGCGATCGCAACTTCGTCTTCTGAATTGACGTTGCTGTCAAAGCTTGCTTTCCCGAGACAGTATCAAATCAAAGGAGTATTTTGGACGTTGTTTCAATAGGTAAAAATCTGAAACCTATCTGATAAGAATGGAAGAGAAGTCTTACTTTCTACTTGGAAAAATAAATGAGCGCCGTACCGCAGTAAAAAAATGACATTTTCGCAGCAATTTGATACCCCATATTCGTCACTTTATTGCTTCGAACATTTTCAGCCGACTGATCTGCCAGGAGTATATCAGAGTATCAGCGCACTAACAAAAATGTCAAATAATCCGTGTACTTTCAAATAAAATCAAAACAGTAACAATAATTATGCATTAACAAGCTAGGAAATCCTTCGTACCTCCCGAGTCTTTTGACGCTCCAATACGACTCTTCGTTGATATGTATGTCGATATCGCTTCCCATCTATAAGCAGTTCTTCAGAAATCGTTTCTTCTCGCGTTCTTTGCGAAGGATCTTCAGTGTTATCTGATTCCAGCAGTTCCGGTAAATTATCGCCCGACTCAAGTACCTCTTCGACCAGTGAATCCAGATTTTCAACACCAAGTCCGTCTATTGTCTAAAGCAAACGAACCAAGGCAAATCGTGAAAGGAAAAAAAACTTGGGCGTAGCCTAATTCAATAAACGACAAAAAAGACCATTCAGTTGGAAAAGCATCTGATAAAGTCAACGAAGCAGCCGTTTTGCTTCACGACGGGGTATAAAACAGTTTTGGCACTGTTAAGACATGCTAATGAATTTTTCCCCGTAGGTTGATTTAGTAGATAAGATGAAGAAGGTCCGATAACAGAACAAACGTATACTGTCTGGTTTTTTGTTAGACAGTCTATTTACTCGCCGATGATCAAACAGAGAATCAGAGGATCAGTATGGTTTTCCTGGTTTCCTTATGAGCTCGGTAAAGCTACTTCAAACAAAACAGACTAACACATATTGAGGGGAAGTTCTTGCATGCATTGTACTAATCGTATCCTCGAGGTGTAGGCTGTTACCCGTTGGTTTGCAACATTGTTCAAAGTATGTGATAAAGTCTAACTCATAGATTACGGTTGCATAAAAAAGCAATGTTTGATTTGCCCATTTGGACATGGCAATTATATTTTTATAGATTGAGTCGGAACAGGCTACAGACTCTAATAACCTAAAATGTTTCTCGATTAGAACACATTGTGACAGAGAATCAAACTCTCATAGGACAAAAGTGTCCACGCACAATCCTCCGATTTGCCTGGCTGGCAGAGTGCCCCTTCTTTGTTAAAGACAGAGAAATCTGCGTGATATTTGCAGGAGATTTCGATTCCGACTGACAAATCACAGATTTCGGCTTTATATTTTCAAAATTATTTACCATCTTTTATAAGTTATCAGATTTTAGCTCTTTTTGAGACACTCTATCTAACCAGAAACATATGTACCATCAGTAGGTCATTCGTAAGTGTTCTTTACATGAGGAACAAGAGAGACAGCAGAAAGCGTAAGTCAAGCTCCAAAGTACTTGGCTTATTGCTAATACAAGCGAACATGCGAGTCCCAGGAAGTAATCGATAGTAAAAGACGACCCGATCGGTGGCACAATAAACATATTGTCCCAGCGATCGAGTCGTCCTCTTCTTAGCTTATATCAAGGGAAGATGGTACAGGTTGTTGACATGAGGTTGTGGACCAGTACAGTTTTTAAACACCTTCAAAGAGTTTGTACAGCATCGGAGTAAAAAAATCTATACCATAAAACTAAAATCACCCAAAGACTTATAGAAACGATGACGCTCTTTGGTCAATCCTAGTCATGACCCTCCGAAACAGATGCAGTTAAAGTGACAAGCAATCAACAATCAGTCAGTATTATGCCACAAACCAAGGGATAATAGCGAGAAATTTCTGACTTATTTTCTTTCATCGGTCTGCTATATCGAAACCAGATGCAGGAAACTCAGGCTCAGGCAGCCGACCAAATATTTGGCTTCAGGCTGAAGTCTCAATTTAATGCTCAAGAAGTGAAAACCCGGCTGAATAATTTGTTTTTTAGACATGTGGTCTGCAGGAAAAATAAAAAGAGTGGATAACAGACGTGTATTCCTTCCCATCCAGCCTTAAGGATTGGAACTTTGGGTAGTGACTATTCATAGATATGCCACTAGCTTTTCGTTCTCTAGACCGCAACTAAAAAACAAAACGGAATCGTCCATATAATTTTAACGCATTTTGAATCTTTCCAATCAGAGTCAGCAAAACGACTCCGCATACAGTCCGTTTTTTCATTTCCCTCAAAAACGCCGATTTGACCTCAATTCTTTTTAGTCTGGAATCCGACTCAGGACATCAAGTAAAACAGAAGTAATCGTTCCAGTTTCCTTCGCGTTCGGACCTCTATGAGGGTACCTATATCTCCGTGGTAAGTCTTATGCAAGAATTACCACAGAGCTGAATTTTTAGGTTCGTTCTCGGACTTATGAGTCGATTCTTGAACCGTCATTTAAAGCGAGACGCTATTTTCCTTGAACGAAAATGGTGAATTAACTGGTGTTTGCGTAAATCTACGATAAATGTTAGCCTTTATTATTCCGTCTATTGATGAAAGAATTCGTCTAGCATCCATGTTTTAAGATCAACCATCCGGGTATTTTAACAAGCAACCGCAGAGCGAAGCTTAAACGAGGAAAGCGCAGAGAAGCGCGGAATAGGGGTTCTGTGAGCACGTGAATTATATGATGACGCAAACCTAGAGTTTTCAAAAGGTTTCAAGAAAAAGTTCTATCGCCCGGAGAAAATCAAAGTTATTCGAATATGCAAGCACAGAAGGCACAGAGCAGCTGCAGTTTATGATCATACAAGCCTAGATTATTGGTCAAATGTGGAAAACAAACATGCAAAAAACTAAGTTGTTCAAAGGTTGTCAGAGATTGAAACGGGTTTTCGTACGATTTTACAGCGAAAGTTATGTCGCCGATAATAGTTCCATGTTCTTTTGATAATCTGGTATTGTAGACTCTCATCTCCAATTTACGGTGTAATATAGTGCATTTATAGGTGTTTTTCCCTCTAAATAACCTTATTTTGAAAATATGCCCGCAGAAATTTACTCAGCCTTAAAAATTATGTTGTTTTAGTCTCGGCGGTCCACGTACTTTGCTTAGCCTTCGATATGCGATTTCTCCATGAATGCATATCCACATAATTGTCAGCGAAGCGCTGACAACAGAACATGGTGTAGTTAAAAACTCCAAGACATATATTAGACTGTCGTATTTAAGATTTTTTTGCAGTCTGGTATTAGGAATATTGACCTACTTGATAACTTCTCAACAAATGTTTACTTTTCAATAGATGTCTAGTTTATATTCACGCTGGTCTACGAAATTCCCATTTCTCAGTCATTTTTTTGCCTGATCATACAATTTAAACTGTGGCAAATAATTGCTTTTGAAATAAGAAATAAGCAACAAAACGCTTTATACTTTTATACATATTCAATGGCGCTAATGATAATGAGGCGATAATTGTTTTGTCACTTCTCTCGAAAGTAATTTTCTTCAAAGCTGGTGCGAGGGGGTTTTCTGCTCAGCCCCTCCCACTCATTTCAAGGATGACAATCAAGCAACTGTTATCGTTGCAGGAAAGCAGTCTGCATAAATCCGTGCTGGGACGGAAACGATTTGAAATTATCTGTCGGATACTGAGTGTGCTGGCGAAGTAAAATGTTTATTTTTTGGGCATTAGATGTCAGGCCTGGTCTCAATTAGCGTCCTGTGGGAAACAACTGCACAAGTTCCTTGTGAAAAATAAACGCGGTGATTTTTACATGCCGAAAAATTCGAATGGCAGAAATTCGCAGGAAGATATTTTTTCATTATTGAAATTATTCGGAGAATTAATTAATTTGGCACAGCTATTCAAGCAAACCAGTTAATTAATTAATTTTTTTTCCGCGACATATAAGCGTCTGTGGACTTTTCTTGAACATGAACACTCTGATCGAGTTGTAAATCAGACTCAATGAATTGTTTTTAAAACCGTCATTATATCCCGTCCGTTGAATCTGTTATCAGTAAACTCGGTAACTTCTGAGGTCATCCTCTCACACATTTACAGTTTGTGGGAATAAGTATGGTATTTTTCAAGGGATATGGTGAGAGTTTTATGCAATAGTATGCGTTAATTAACATTCATACCAGCGCACATAACGAAGTTATTTTGCAACCTTACGGTTATAATTTTGCCTTTTTAACTAAATTTGTTTTTAAACAAAAAAGAACATTTTGAAATTGGGGTTCAGTTACCGTGTCTACTATGTTTAAGGAAGACCTGTAACTGGCTGACGACAGCAAATAAACCCAAAATTACATATTCTGCTTTTTTAACTTCGGCTATAGTGGTCCTCGAGGCTAGATTGGTCCAGCATTTTTGGGCGCAGTGTTGTAGCATATGCACAAAGCCTTAGGAGATTCTGATGCATATTCATCAAAACATCAATTGTACACTAAGCCTAAAGGCGTCTACTCAGACTCTATATTTCAAGTCTGTTGTGCATCATAAAAGTTGAAACTGTCTTATTAGCCGGCAAGCTGCCGTATTCTAGAACGAAGAGCACAGTATTTATCAAACCCGTTACTTATCGCCCAGAAGAACAAGCCTTTTGCCCTCGCGTTCATGACATACATAAAAGAGTGTCCTCCCAACAAAATCTGTTATGTTGATTAGAACCCTTGGAAGAAGCAGATGGTCTGACAAAGGTCAATAACGAGTGGACAAACCAATCTTGTTTTGAGTCGTGTGAAAAGTGCTTTGTGTGTTTCAAAAAAACTGAAATTCGTCCAGATTCCGCTGGTAAAAGATAACGAGCCAGTTAAAGATAAGGTCTAGCTCGCGGCCAGCAACTGTTTGTATACAACGGACAAGAAAACAAAACCCCACGGACTGGCGTTAATCGGTCCCCTTCATCCCCGCATCAAGTGGCGCGTTGACTAATGGATGCTCATAGCCACAAGCCCCCTTCCGCTATCTTCACAACCCCCTATTACTTATGCTTGTCATCAACTGTATATACTGTGAGGCACGATACAACACTTATCTCCGACGACAAGAGCTCGTCTTCTTTTGATGTGTCTTCTCATATATATATATATACCTATATATTAAAAGGATAACCGAAGTTTACTTTGGAATGCATGGTAAACCAGACGTATAGTTGCTTTTCCCAATTTTTGCCGATGGCTTGCTAATTTTGCAGTTGATAAGTCGGAAGATACCAAGAATATATTTGCTCTCTCGTGTAAACACCTTGAGTATACTAATATTTACCGAGAACAGAAATTAATTTGTAAGACAATTAAAAAGCTGAACTTTTGAAGCCGGTATATCAATCAGAAAGCAAGCAGGGAAATGGAGGACACACTTATAAGCCGGACTTCTTGCATCTGTTTCAAGCAGCGGCAGAATACCGGCAAAACACGTGTAACTGGGCTTTTAGCTAGTACCTGTGCTGGCGGTATGGTAAATTAGAACTTCAAGGAAAATTATGAAAATGTGTCTTCATTCCGGAATAATTATTTATGTATGTAGGACTGTAATATTCGTCCTCTTGCAGTCTACTCGCAAAATCTACCAGAAACGTCAGGCTGCCGGCTTTAGAAGAGGCTTTTTTCGGGCCGCACGAAAAAAATGCACTCTGTAAAGAAATGAATACTTAAGTATTATGCAACTTCGAGGCCCTTACAATTTCAAATACGTTTTATAAATAACACGCATGGAAAGATTTTCTCTTGTTCCCACTTGGTTCTAAATGAGAGCTAAGCATGCAGCAGCAATGAGGAAGGGGAGTGACGCTAACATCCAGCTCGCGGCTCGGGTGACAGGACCCGGCCACACCTTCAATATTGACGAGCCTAAAATGCTCACAAGAGGTGACAATCGCATGAGACGCAAATTGTGTGAGTCAGGGTTATCCGCCTCGCATTCAATTTAAAATGTCACGACCTTCATATTATTTGCTGCAATTTTGGCCTGGGCAAAATTATGAGCCACGCGGGTCGGATGCAGACGATTAGCAATCATGGTGACAGCGAAGTGCACGGCCAAGAAATCGCCAGCACCGATGCGATCACGGCAATTAATGACTTGGATACAGCGAATACTGCCGATTATAATTAGCATGTGGTTGACTTGCAAATGCGTCCTATAAATACTGCGGAACTTGTGCTTCAACTCGCCTCTTCGGTGACTGTCCCGGATGATGGGTCCGAGTGCAAAACATCGGGTCAGAAAACTCCTTGTTCCAGGAATTACACTGATGGCTTCTTAAAATTTTATCATTGAATAAAGGGTAGATTTCGGTTTTAAACTAGGTTCTAACCATAAAATGTATAAGTTATGAAATGCTTATTAATAAATCTTCGTATTAATCCATTTTTAATACTGCTTATAAAATAGACAGCATGGTCAACACCCGTTGGGTAATTAAATGAGCACAGTATGATGTCTTACTTATAGCGTAGACGAACGCGTGATTTAGCTGCAATGTACGCAACATCTTTTTTGAAAACCATGAATTGAAGTGTAATGGCAGGCGCGTTCAGAACTATTCGACAATTTAAAATATTTTTAAAACCGAAATGTGTCTTTTCTGCGAGCATACAATTTGACGAAGACTAATATTCCACAAAACGACTACAAGAAAGACTATTTTCATGCGTGCTTTCTATGACATATATGTAAAGGACATTGAACATCAATGAGGCAAAATAACACGACTTAAGTAGTCCTTTTCTACAGAGTGTAGTTCTTGTGGTTGACCAGAAACAAGCGCGTTCAAAAAGTAGCCTGACGCGATCAGTATAGCTTAGGATCATGCTTCCTGATTGCTTATATAATAATCTGTTTTCAAACGGAGAAAAATTTTCATTTTCGGTAAAATAGATTATGAGATAACACATGTACTTTATGTCGACAGGGCTTTTATCTGCTTAGCCGTATCGAAAAACAGCCTGACCTAGAGACATAAATGAAGATGGGAAGATGTTTCCTGCCTGTTTTTGTCGAGGCTTACCTCATCTTGTTTTTTCCCAGGAATGTATGCTTTCTGTAATTCAAATGTTGCGTTAGCGACGTCCATCTGCATCTGCTCCACCGAGGGAAGAAGAAATATGTCTTTCTCCGGAGAAAATATATCTCCACTGGCGGATGACCGTTGAATAATCGCAGTCTGTTCGTCCGCGACAGCGTCATCAGAACTCATCGCCAGCTAAGTATGTAGGGGAATAGATGGCAAGTCTTTGATGGTTAAACGAACAGATTGAAGTGGGATTATTCAAATTAGGGATAGCTGCAGCACAATGGAAAGCAAGTTCTCGCTTACCACAAAGACCAGAGTTTAAAACGATACGGGCAGGTTTATGAAAAATATTATTTTGCTATTCGTTTCATATGCCAGAGACATCGGTCATTGTTTAAAAGCTTCGTAAAATGTATGTCTTCGATTTCGGAGGGATGACAGGTGATGAACTTTGGATTAAAATCATGAAAACTCCACTACAAAGGAGAGCCTGGTTTTCGTAGTTGTAACTCCAGAACTTGCTTGTTAAACACGAAGTAAACCGATTGTAAACTCTTAGTTGAAGGTTGGAAGTCGACAGACATGCTTCTTTTAGTCTGCTATTGGGGCTTATTATTTGACTGTCCTTACATGCTTTTCATTCCGCATATTTTTCATATTCATTTACCGGACGCCATGCTTTATCATTTTTGACTCCTACGAATTTTTTATTAAATGCATTATTATCAGGTTTGCATCCCCTGAATAAAACCAGAAAACTACATTAGAAACGTCTATTCAGTTATTTTTACTAGCATAATGACTCCAAACTTGCATCTGTTGCATTTGGCAATTGATGACCTCAGAAACCGCCCACGGCGAAAAACGATAACAGACGTATATATGACCGAAAAATTAATTTGCTGTCGTGACCGTCATCATCATTATCCTTTAATTAATTAATTCATTTAATTCAACCTTTCAGATCACATAAGCTGCATGAGGTAACTTTATTCAAGAATATATTAGTGTCTGGTTTACATGCTTGCAATCTATTATCTACTAAATGTGATTATCACTTTTTCTACAACGTGTAAAACATGTCATCTGATATCAGTTGTGTGCATATTTAGTTCGAACATTTATTCAGCTTTGAGAATGAATACAACGAAACAAAGCACCCGTACTATCAGCTGACAAGTGCACACAATTAAATGCATAGGCAGAGTTTAAAATAGTGGCTGGCAAACTCTACGTGTAGTTCTATCTGTGTTTTAAAAGCAGCTGTTTTGACTATATTGATAGTTAATTGGCGAAACACATCCGTTCAAAAAGCAAAATGGAAGTTTACGTACGATGGTTTTATGCAAGGACCGTAAATGGCTTCAGGTTTGTAAGCAGAGTTCGAGTAAGCAATTAGGAGAGTTTCAGGTAACATAAAAGCACCTAAAGTTTACAAAATTTTCCAATGATTCTCTTTGCATAGTTATGAGTAATGAGAATATCCGCACGTTCACGTTGCTTCTCTGGACGTTTGGACCGCGGGAGGCAAGTTAATTTGCAAAAGTTATTTTGTTGATCTATACGAAACGGGAGGTTTAGAGCGCAGAAAATGAAGGTGGACCTTTTGGTCCTAGAGGTAAGGTACTCATATAAATGGATTGAACTTTGTCTTTCCTGTCTAGTAATGTGAATTTTTCCCATGCGGTGGAATACATTTATACGTAATTTATGCATGATGAACTTGGGCCTGGTTAAAATAGTAATTATCCGATGCCTACAACAGCGAGCGGCATAAAATACTTTGGGTTCATTTCGCCATATATCCCCTGCACTTTGTTTTTATCCTAAAGCAAGAGAAATTAACGCTTCAGCACACGTAAGAGAAAATTTATTGCGAAATGTTGGACCATTTGCGGATGCCTTTTTACTGTCTTATATCAGACGATATGCCTATATTTAATGGTATTATTTAATTAAATGTGCGTTCGTTATGATACTTGCTTACGGTAAATAATACTTCGAATGCTAACTCAACTAAAACGTATATAATGCATTATTAGTAGATAGGCGTACACCAATGAGATACAGGGCACACCACCCTGGTTTTTGACATCAAAAACCAAGGCGGTGTGCCCTGTATCTGATTGGTGTACACATATCTACTAATCCATAGTCCCGATCAACAACTGGTACGACGTCGGGCCCGATAGCTCAATGGTTAAGGCGTTTGCCTCTGACCGGAGAGACGCGTGTTCGAAACTCGAGTGTGATGTCAAGTTCCGCTGCTACATTAAAGTAGAGTAGCTCCATCTGATGACGCCTAATAAGGCAGAAAAGGCCTTCGCGGAAGTCTCCGTCTACCGGCAAAATGTCCTAAAAATAAACCATTATACATAAGGATGCGTCAATGTTTAGTTTATAGGCACTACAGAAACAGGGTTTTTGCATTTGCCCTCGTGATGAAACAGTCAAAAGCAATAAACCTATTTGATCGCACCGATCTTGGAACGGGAGGAGACCGCATTCGATCCGTTGGATAAGAATGCATTCAAATTTTTCCAATTTTTATTAAAAAAACTCCAAAACTAAGTAAAAAACTAAGTACGCCCAAGATAATGGAGAATTTTTCAAAACGTTTGAAAAATGCTCTATGACAAGATAGACTGAACACATTAGGCTACCATTTCGGTATCGTAAAAAAGCCTCGAGTGCATTACCTAAACGTGCTGGGTTTGAATAAGTATTCTTTAAGTGATTGTTTTCAAACCATCTATAAAATAACTGCGCAAAACCGCATTGTTTTGATAAATGATAGAGGCTTTGAAAATAAAAATGCTAATCCCCTAGGAAATATGCGAAAAGTGTACATGTACTGCTCGTTTTTTAAAAAAAGTAAACTGACCTACAGATTTTGCATTTGAATGAAGCGTTATTTTGGTTTAAGGAAAATTTAGTTAATATGAACACATCTAGAAACAGAACCCACAGTGCCATATTCTCTATGTCACCCGAGCCCGTTATTCCGTTATTTTTCCAAAGGTAGTTTATACCAGCCATTCTGTTCCTAGAAGGAATATTTGTGATGCTCATGACAATTTAATATGCACACGGATCACTTTATATGCGTTTTGGACCACAGTGGTTGTGAAAATGCGACGCAGTAGCACACAGGGCCACGCTTTATAAGTTGGGGTCCGAACCACTGCTCGTTTTCCAGAATCTCGGCCAAGAATATACTGAGACCGGCTATTGTATGATGGACTGTAGTAGCAGACAGGCTCACGCCGTTAGAGCAAGGAGTTCTGTCGTTTCCCCCTATTCACTTAATTATGTATGGAAATCCTCGTTAGGTGTTTATTGTGGACCAGGAAGTGTGGTAGTACGCGTAGATAAGGATTTTTGCTGCGCCAGCCAACTGCGGCCTCTCCTACCCGTTATCGTTTTCAGTTTGTCATGAAATCGTGTCCAAATGGAAAAGGAAGTGTGGTAAAGACAATGCAAGTCTACTTTCAGCATAATCTAATCAAGACGCAAGCCATTGCGCTTGACTCCTGCTTGCCGTAAAAATAGTCGATGAAGATAATTATCCCAACACTCTTGGGGGTGTCAAATTAAAATCTTTGAGTTATAACCTCAGGCAAATTCTTTCAACAACTACAACAGTACCGAAAGTCTAAGAAAAGCGCATATGCAGTAGACTTTTTTATAATTTCCGCAATATATATTCGGAGTTCTACGAATACTTAAACTCCACCTAAAATTATATACAATATAGGCATGGTATTTTCGCCGAAATAACTTTACAAATCTGACTCCAACAGTCTTTGATCAAAAGGATATGCATGTTTAAAAACGCTCAGCCACTCCTTAAAAAATGTTGGTATACATTTTACACACGAGCCACATATTACTTATTTGGGCCGATTATTCCTAAAGGGAATATTTTCACGAAAAGAAACCACACCAAAACCGAAAGACGCCACAAATTGGTGACAATTTTAGCTTGGGTAGCCTGTATCTCAGTGGAGCATGAAATTCCTTTTTTGATCTGGATAGAACAAGTGATACGAAGCGCAATGGAAAGGTTTTCTGCAATTTCAAGTAAACTTATTTCGGAGCCCCACATCACGTAGGGGTTATTATTTCTCTAAGGGCGTGTAGACGGTCTGTGCACGTTTCTTCGTTTTTCAATATCTTCAATGATGACATTTTGCACAACGTAAAAGAAGATAATATATAGTAACTTCAGTTTAAGTTTCTAATGAAGAATGCTGAAAGAACACATAATCGTATTTTGATAGAAGAGATTCTTCGGGAAACAGGAACAAACTTTATTGCAAATTTTCAACACTGGTACACCAAGTCGTCTTCGGACGCGAGGGAACTGTGTGACGAGCAGTCCAGATTTTTAAACGTGTCAAAAAATCGATAATGCTGCGTCATCCGTGGTCAATAGTATGTTTTGGTGGTTGGCCCATTTTCCAGGCTTTTTTTAAGATTGGTGTAAATTGAATCCGACTCAAAGTGCCTGTTGATGCACGAGTCGTCGGAGTTGATGGCTTCTAAAAGCTCGCGGCCTTTCTTGTATGGGCAAGAGCCAACAATGCAAGTTTCGTCCCATGCAAATTGATGTCCAGTTTCTAATGTTAATGCTACTGACCGCGGATGACGCAGCATTATCGATTTTTTGACACGTTTATAAATGCGGACTGCTCTTCACACAATTCCTTCGCGTCCGAAGACGACTTGGTGTGCCAGAGTCGAAAATTTGCAATAAAGTTTGTTCCTGTTTCCCGAAGAATCTCTTCTATCAAATTATATTTCTCGGAATGCCTATTTTCAAATACATAGTTATACGGAGATTTAGTGTACACAACAACCTGTATATTCTCGAACACCTAAGCACCATTTAACAATCAGGAGGCACGTTGTTTGCAATGGTCTCTGAAGTCGAAGCGTTTATAATGATATAGATCCGGCAAAGGGTGTGCACCTCGCCAGCCATCAGTGAACTTATTTAACAGTCAATTCTTTCCTACATGTCTGAATCGTGTTTTAACATATCCAAAGTTTTCGGTCCTATCAATATTTGATTACCATTTGCAAAACATTGGCTGTTATTTAGGCATTTTGCAACATCTTTTAAGTCAAACATTGCAATGGGTTTTAAAACTTCTTACACCATAGCAATATTTAGGACA